AAAAACAATCTAAAAACTGTTAATTACCTAACCATCTAGCCAATTAGAAAAATGGCCCCGCAGGACTGTTTCTTTGAGATTTGATGTGTGACACTACTGTCATAGACATTGGCTTCATCCAGATGGAAGATTTGTTTCATTTTATGAGCACTGATGATACTGGTATTTTTTCCTGCTGACCAGACAACACAAGGCTTAAATTGGTACCAACTGTGCCAAAGTGAAACAAAAAATCTGGTTCTATGTATTTTAAAGGATCACCATGAGGTGGGTATATGTCAATTTTTGCTGGTAGCAGAGTTCAGGTGGCAAGAACTTATCTGGTGCCCGCCTTACACTGGCTACCTATCCGCTTCCACATTGATTTCAAGATGCTAACTATTACATATAAAGCCCTTAATGGTTTAGGACCTCGATCCCTGGCAGAGCGCCTTCTTTCACCCAGTTCTACATGCATCACCCGCTCCAGTCAGGCCAAGCGGCTGAGGGACCTAATGCCAAGAGAGGCCTCGTGGGAAAAAACTAGAAATCACTTGCAAGAGGCCTGGTGGGAAAAAACTAGAAATCACCTGCGATGCTTGTCACTCACCGCTCCACAGTTTGGGGAAAAATATATAGATGAGAATGCAAAAAATGTTTTTTAGGTGACATGTTGCAACTAAGGCTTTTGTATGCCTTGAGGAGGTTTACCAACAACAACCTGTAGCTGTCTACCTTGTTTCCAAGAAAATTTATTGCCACTAGCTGGAAGGCTTTCCAGGACATCTTTTCCTTGCCACACAATGCATGACCAAATGCATCATCTCGAAGAAGTTCACAAATCTAAGGACCAACAAAGACATCTTCCTTCATCTAATCTTCACTTAATTGGTAATTGAAAGCTGTTAGTAGGTAACTGAAATAGGTAAACGAAAGCTGTTAGCGTTTTGTCCATGACCTTGACAAAGTTCTTCATCAGACCCAGCTTGATGTATAATGGTGGTAACTAAATCTTCCTTGATACAACAAGAGATTGACACTGAACACTTTTCCTCCCAGGCTCCAACGACTGTCGGAGTGGGCAATCTATCTTGAGGTAGTGGTAATCTCTTGAAAGACTATTCCATTTGCAGAGAAAACAGGAGTACATTGTGTATCCAGTCTGCAGACCAAGCAAGAGAGCAACATTGCCACAAAGCTGCCACTGATGTTGGTCATAGTTCATGCACCTCAACAGTTATTTTCATGTTGTCATATGTTTCCTTCACATGAACTGCATGACCAACTAGAATTGATGGCAAAATATTGTCATCGTGGAGCAAAACAGCTTTAAGGCTCTTTGATGAATCAATGAACAGGCTCCACTCATCTGGCTCATGAATTATTTTGAGGCCTGCCATCACACTATCGATGTTGTTGCAGGCTACAAGATCGTATTCCATGAAGAAGAATGGGATAACATCCTGTTGACAGTCATGGAGTATGGAAACCTTAACATCACCTGCCAGGAGATGCCACTGCTATAGTCTGGAGCCCAACAGCTCTGCCTTACTCTTTGGTAGTTCCAAACCCCTGACAAAGGTCATTCAGTTCACCTTACATTATAAGATGTGGTTCAGAGGAGGAGGATGGTAGAAAATGTGGGTCCTATGACACTGATGGTTCAAAACCGGAAGTTCCATCCTCTTCTGATTCAAGTGAAAATTAATCTGGTAATTCAGGAATTGGCAGTCCTTCTCCATTGGGGTACTAGGTGCATAGATGATGGAATATTTGGATAATACACAGTCCACTTTCTTCTTCTTTGACACACCCTTCCCAACTGGAGGCACCATGAAGAAGTAACAATTGCTGGTATGATCTGTTCGCTCTCCCCAAATCACTAGCATTGCAAAGAGCATTGAGTTATTTTTCCTGTTCAACCACTGGTGAAGATTTGTTGCACAAATATTGCAGCACATGTGTGGCCACCTCTTGTCCTGATCTCCAATTTTGCAGCCAAAATAAAGGTGATAGGCTTTCTTAACCATAATGCTTATACTGTGCTTTTGTGAAGCAGAAGTCACTTAACCACAAACATAGCAGACGTTATCTGCACTGTTCACACAAGTACGAGGAATCTCTGCTCACTTTAGCCAAAAGCAAATGTCTTCCTTTGGAAAGTCAAACACTGACAAATAAGAGCACGGCCCTGTATGATTCCTAGGCCAATTTGTTCAGCAGAGTGAAGTAAGTTATGATTGCACCATCCTTGACTTCTAGGAATAACATGATGCAATTCATATCATTTATGATGCAATGCCAGCTTCAGATTGCATCATTCATTGTTTTGCCTAAAAAGCAAGCAGTGTCTAAACCTAGTCACAGATTTATTCATAGATCCCAAAATCCATTTTAGTCATTTCTGTTTGAAATTGAGATCTCTCACTTATCTTCTGCCATTACCAAGTCAATGGTCATATATACAGTACTGGTCCAACATAATATCCTGAAAACTAGAGCCAATCAACAGTTTTAAGCATCATTTTCATTCTCAGTGACCCAGAATTTTAAAAAGTTTGACTACATTTAATTCAGAAGCATTTTGACTGTAGACTAGTATTTGTTGGAGGGTGTGTTACAGATAGGGATGTGGTGGCGCTGCGGGTTAAACCGCAGAAGCCTCTGTGCTGCAAGGTTGGAAGACCCAGCCGTCGTAAGATCAAATCCATGTGATTGAGTGAGCTCCCATCGCTTGTACCAGCTCCTGCCAACCTATTTATTTATTTATCAGGGTGACTCACAGGCAAGGGAAAGAAGACAATGACGGATGACGATGATAACAAAGGTAAAAACAGGTAAGGTTAGTTCTAATGGAATGTTCCAAGCAGACATGTGCAGTAGGATCTAGGGCTTGGAGACGGGGATGAGCACCTGAATCAAGCACTCTTGCTGTGATACTGATCCTACTGCCTATAGCAATTTTTCCAGTAGGGAAACTTGAGGGGAGATTGCAACCAAACTTGCAACAATGTTGACAACTCTTGTGTCTGGTGCTGCTCACCAAAGCAGTATAAACACTAAGAATGTCCATTGGTGAAGGGTATTTTGTTGGTGCATGAAACATACTTTTTAAATGGGCCTGCTGGGGTCATACAAGATGAGAAGGCCA